GGTAGCCCCTCCAAGACCTCAGGAGTGCCCAATTTTGAGCTGCTAGACCAGTTCCAAGTCTATCTAATTCAGCACAGAAATAATGCGGCAGCATACATTGGAGTGTGTGCTCAATATGAAGGATCTTTGGCTTCACAAATTCTGCCTGGTTGTCACTCCTACCATGTGACAGGTAGATTTGTGATAATGTGCTCAAGGATGTTCTTCCCTCATGTTGGTTTTCTCACCAGCCACAGCACGCCTAGTGGATATCAGAACTCATGCAGCTCAGTCAGTAGTGGCTGCTGTTGAGCTCCTGCTGGTGACTGTGCGCGCTAAAGATTGCGCAATGCTCGGTAGCCTGCACAACTTCTCGGGTACTGAACTGTCTATGTCCAAACACAGCAAGACCTGGACAATATCCAGGTTTTGGCCAACAAGTAGCAAGTAACAGGCAAAGACTGCCTGCAATAAAAGAGAATCAAACCATCATCATCACTGCTGAAACCCCCAGTTCCCACTATCAACGTCCCGGGAGTTACCATTGACCACAGGCTGAACAGGGCAACCCATATAGAAAGCTAAAGGAGTACTTCAAAGGTTAGGAAACTTCCACACCACCGAACTCACAAAAGTCTACAGACTATCTGCCAGTCAACCCACACTTGCCTGGACAAGTGCAGTTCCAAAAACACTCAAGAAGCTGGTCATCAGCAATAGCTTTGCTTATCCATATTTGTTGAAACTTGAAACAGATGAAAGGGTAGGCCATTCGGCTGATCACATTTGCTCGTGATTCAATATGATCATGGCTGATCTCTGTCTCAAAGCCATACTTCTCCTACTCAGCAAGGCCGTGTTGTCCAGAAATCTACTACTTTCACAAATATGTTCATGACTTGCCCACACTACCTTCTGTGGCGCAAAACTCCATAGGTTACCACCCTTCAAGTGAAGGGATTTCTCCTCATCTCAATCCTAAATGATTTATTCTGTATCCAGATACAGTGACTGCATAAAACAAATCTCAACAATTCCCAGCATTTCATTCCTACCAAAATGCATACCACGGTACTGACACCACTACTGGAGCTATCCTGCTAGTGACCAAAAGTTAATCATGAAAAGTCTATCAAGGGAGCTGGACAGGATCTGCTGTTGCTGTTTTCAGCGCTTAAGTTGATGCTAAGTGGTTGCTTTGATTTTAAGCCTAGAAGTAATCATGAACATCACTTTGCACAGGCCCCAGCAATATCATTTAGGTTTTCAACAGAGGAAAGGAACATTTCTCCATGGTTCCTCTAAATTGCTTTTCTTCCTCCAGAGGCAGAAGGTTCCAAGCATGGCACAGCAAGTCTGCTGTCAGTTGGTATAATTCCCTAGCAGAAAGTGAGGAGAAATATCAAAAGAAAAGCCGAGTTGCAGAAGAAGCTTGGAACTTCACATCCAAGAAATACTACTAAACACTGAGGCCATTCTTCATATTTGTCCAAGTTTTCTTCAAGGTCTTCAACTTTCAATTACTGATAGAGATCTTGATAACCCAAAGCAGTTTCGATCATAAAAAATGGCCAATCAACTGAGAATTTGGGTGCTCTTGGACGTCACAAACTAGATGATGCATTACTGGAGAAAGTCAAATCAGTTGGATGCAGGAACAGACAGTCTATGATTTTTCTGTGGTTGCAGCACTTACTGCACCAGGGCCACATCATTGGCTCCTTATGAATGTCTCCTTATGAAGTGCATAAATATGTCTGTCATCTATTTCTCCAAAACAGCAAACACCAGCTTATAACCTATCAGTATCCACATTGAATGGACGATTGCCCACCATTTCTGTGACCTTACACACCTTCCCTTTCCCTCCAATCAGCATTTGAAAGCAGCTCCCTGTACTGTTCTTTGATGTACTCCTCAGTCAGCCCCAACACCACTCCCTGCTTCCCTCCCTCTAATGTTCCTTCTGCACATTTGCATGCAAGCAAAGTAGTTTAAGCAGACTTCTTAACTCCTCTCTCATCATCCAAGGCCCTAAGCACTCCTTCCAAGTAAAACAGCAATTTACTTGTACTTCTTTCAGAGTATGATATCGTGTTTCCTTATTATGGGGTCTCCTATGACTGCTTTGCACAACACCTCAGTTCCACCGACAAGCATGACTAGTGTCATGTCCATCATCAGTTCAATTTTCCACCTTGCTCCCATTCTGACCTCAGCCTGCTGCAAAGCTCCAAAGGAACCTCAACAAAAGCTCAAGGAATAGCACCTCACCTTCTAACTGGAGACTCTCTAGCTTTCTGGATTCAGTGCTGTATTTAACAATTCTAGATCGTAACATTTTTCTCCATTTTGTTTATTTTTTTCAGCTGGTTCATCGTTTCTTGTTTCATTATTTGTTCACTTTGCATATGGACAATTGCTATCCAGCCTTGTAAACCTCATGTAGGTTGCACTATTTGTTTACTCATTACAATAAACCCTTTTGTCATTTAATTACTCCTGCCCTCGATCCTATTACAGGCATCCCTATTTGCTCAAAACTATTCAATTTCTACTTTTCCTCAGTTATGATGAAGGTTCAATTTCAACCTGAAACATTAACTCAATTTCTCTCCACAGGTCCTGCCTGACCCACTGACTATTCTCCACATTTTCTCAAACTTTTGCATATTTTGTCACATAATTATTTTCAGTGGGCATGTACGTCTAGCACCCATTAAATGCAGTCTTTCCCTCCTATGCATAACCACTCAATAGGTTTGGATTATTACTGATGCATTCTGGAACTATTTCTCACATGGAGCTTCAAATTTAATTTATTAATTTAGCATCAATTACTGAGCTTACTTGTATAAAAGTTATGCCAAAATAGTGGAATAAAGGTATATTGTCCTTTTACCACTTCTATGATGCAACATTTTATTATTTTTTTTTAATCTGAACATTCAAAATATTTTGCACGAACAAAACTACTGTTATTTGCCCATTTCCGTCCCATGGATCATGGCACCACACAAATTTCTAATGCAAGTATTTCAAATATTTCAGAATAATGACAACTTATTGCAACACAGGCTTAACTTTCATACTGAGCAAATTTGGTACACATCTATGAACCCTGAATTCTCAGATGTGAATTTCAATTATAACATAACGGAAGGACAAACAGCAAAAAAAAAAAGGGAAACATTCAAAGGAAATAAGCAAAAAGAAAATCAACAGGAGTACACCACAAGATGTGTTATTGCTGAGGTCTAACTAAAGATCTTTTCAAAATGGAAGATCTTGAACATTTGGTTCAATTCTGAATGCCACCAGTCTAACAAAATACTCCAAGATTTTTCTTCTACCTATCCTAACTGTTGTGCCGGGTCTGGCAGAAGAACAAAATAATTTTTAAAATTGTGGAAGATTGTACGTATTGTTATTTTTCAGTTTATGGTTTTCTTTCAATCGCCTTCTGCCGTGGCTAAGAAAGACTGAGTTAAAACAATTTTAACAGGTGGGAACAGTCACGTGTGACTCAAAGACGGAAGCAATTACTTTAGCTTATAATCAGATTGGTTGTAAGGGCCATCATAAACATTGATGAATTAGTCTGATAAACCTGAAGTCCATTTCAAGTATAAACAGAATCACCAACTGTCTTGGATCGAGATATTTTCTGTATTACAATGAAATCTCACAGGCATATATAAAACCATATTGCTGTAATTATTGCAACTACAAATGGACAGTCATTTATAATCAAAGGTTTTTATACAACCGAACTACTGAAAATTTGGGTCAATTTTCCACCCAAGTATATGGCTACACACAGTAGCTTCTCTGGGTGAATATTAAACATTTATATAGCAACTATAATACAGAATGATTCTTATAAACAATTAACATCTTTTTACAAAAGGTGCAGCCTATCATGCCTGTTTTCCAAAACATTTATACAAACCCTTTTTTATTCAATCTGTTCCTAAAAAGTGATAATAAAGTTTACTACTTTAAGTTAAGCCATCTTTGACATTACAAAAATTAAAACCCATTCTTTGTTACATCTCTGATTATAATTTTGTACGGATCTGAAACTATTAACTACATCAAATATTTCATTCTAAGGTTGAACAGACTTCAAAGCAACTATGTCCTTCAATTTGAAAGTCTCTACACTAAAAGAAAAAAACATCTGGAGCAGACTTTCATAACATAATATACCAAAAAATAAAGTCAGAACTTCTGGTGTCCTAATGACTGACATTTTTATTGAGCACATCGGATATCATAGTTAAGAGTAAAAAATACAACCATCTCACTGCCACAGCATGAAATAAGCGCATTTATGGCAGCTTTAGGAATAATTTGTCTGAAAATAAGTCTGCACGAGAAAAGCACTACTAACAATATAATTCTCGTAAAATAATCAGAAATTTGAAGACCAACAAAAATAAGTTGCCACACTGTGAAGAAATGATTTAAGAACAACCTGTCACTGTCTTTAATTTTCCACTGACACACTGTGCTGAGCCTTAAAATGGTGCAAAAAGCCACAAAGAACACCAAACTGAAAAAGTGTGATTAAATTATGTACGACTAATTGTTTTAGTTGGATTTTTGAGGCTTAGAAACAGCAATTATCAAAGTACACCTGTGTGTAAATTAGCAGATAGATCCTCAAACTACTTAACCTATATAAAAAAAAACAGAAACCACAGTGAAAACTTCAGCCAGAGTTTAACAATGCATGATTTTCAAATACAGTTTACTAATGCACACAGTCGACTTCAATTTAGCATAGAATAAGCAGAATAGTATTGAACAAGCATAACAGATCACAAATTAACATTGTATGTATGAAGCATTCCCAATGGGATTAAAAACAAAAAATGCTTTGAAGTATACAAATCATCTGTTTTGTTTATATTTTAACTAGTATGTTATATAATTCGGTTAAAAATATCACAAAGAAGATAATCAGATGATAGAAACCATGACAGAGAGCCTAACTTTAGAGATTTTCAATTTACCTGAGTTCATTAGTTTCCAGAGCTGGTCCACCAGGGCCTCACTGCACAGTGGAGAATCTGTATTCTTGGTGAAAGGTGGGTTTTTATTGAGCATACTCAAAACCTTATGCCTGTCATGTATAAAACAACAGAATTGTATGAATGGGAACAAATCTTAATGAGCCTATTCTGCAAGCATATTAGTGAAAAATGTTGTATATAACAGAAAACAATCAGATTATTATTAAAGTCAGTTAAACCTGGGCATTTAGTTGAGAGGTCCACTATCTTTGATTGTAGCAGTACCACCACTTTCTTGGTGCACTACTTGCTATTAACCAAGACCAACACTCCACATTGTATGTCCATATTAAAACTGTTACAAGCATTCACTCTCTCCACCACCAATGCTTGATACACACTGCTGCTACTATCTACAAGATGCACTGCAGAAATTCACTAAACATCTGTACACTGCTCCTTCCAAACTGAAGTCCACTTACATCTAAGAAGGACAAGGACAGCATATACATGGGAATACCACCATCTGCAAGCCACTCTCTCTCCTGACCTGGAAATATATTACTGTTCCTTCACTATCACTGGGTCAAAATCTTGGAATTCCCTTCCTAGGGGCATTGTGGGTCTACCTACAGCTCATGGGCTGCAGCGGATCAAGAAGACAGCACACTATCACCTTCAAAAGGGCATCAAGGGACAAGCAATAAATACTGGCCAGCCAGCGACACATCCATCCCATGAGTGAATAAACAAACAAAATTTTCTTTAAGTCCACTTTTGGTTTGTTATACATTTCTTTTAAAAAAGTTCCTTTTGCTTGAGAAGTTAATTTCACAGTTTCAAATCATTCATTGTAGATAAACCTTTGATCTCTATGTTCTTGAACCCTTTTAATAACTGAAAACTAGCAGTTCCAGAGAATTAACTGGGAATCCTTCTCGTTTATCTTGGCTTTCTGTTTTTATCATGGAACTCGAATGAAAGCCTTTAACTTTGGAACATAACACAACACTACACTAGACCTTTTATTAGAAAAAAAATCCAAAACAGACTTTACTAATTATTCAACTTAGCTTCTGTAGGCATAAAAGCATATCTGGCCTGACTTACTAATGCTGAATGCTTTATATGAATCAACTAGGTTAAGAAATACAGTTCAGAAAATGATGGGGACAAGCCAAATAAACAAAAGTCTCTTAATTTTTCAAACGAAAAAGCCAAACATATCTTTGAGCAAAGTCCAAAAGATGCTTTCATTGGAAGCAAAAAGCTTGGCTCTTCTCTTGGCAAATGACTTCATTAAAATGCTTAAAATCTATCACACTTGTATCAAAACATCATATTTTCCAAAGAAAGCTTGCTTTTAATTCCTCTTGGGCATCAGAAAGAAAACGGCAAAACAGAACAGTACATTTTTTTGAGTGAAGCTCATCGTGAGCACCTAACGTTAAAACAAATCCAAAGCTATTATTTTTATTACAAAATGCAGGTTTTAAAAAATGCTGCATCCATGCATATCTGACTTTTTCTCTATTCTTTCCCATTTTGTCTGCCTTTGCCTATAGAGATCATAAGGCCACAAGAAATAGGAAAAGGAATAAGATGTTCATCTCCTCGAGCCTGGACTGCCATTCAATAGGATCATGGCTGAATCGATGTTCCTTGTGTCCATTTCTGCGTTTTCCCCATAACTCTTGATTCCTCTAATGATATAAAGAATCTCAGCCTTAAATATATACAAAGTCTCTGCCACCACAATTCTTTGTGGCAAGGAGTTCCAAAGACACTCAAACCTCAGAGAAGAAATGCCTCCTTATCTCAGTCTTAAATTTGCGTCACTTTATTCTGAGACTGTATCCTCTGGTACAAGACTCTCCCTGAGGGGGAAAACATCCTATCAGCATATATCCTGTCAAGTCCCTTAAGAAATGCATATGAGATAATCTCTCATTCTTCTAACCTTCACCGAGTAGAGTCCCAACCTGTTTAGCCTTTGTTCATAAGACAATCCCTCCATACTAGGGATCATTCAAGTGAACCCTCTTGGAATCGGCTCCAATAAAAGGATATCTTTCCTTAAACAACAGGGAAGAAAATTGCTCACAGTACTCCAGATGTGGTCTCAACAGCACCTTGGACAGTTGCAATAAGGCTTCATGACTCTTATACTCCAACTCCCATGAAAATAAGGAGCCTTCTGCACCTATGTGCTAGCTTCCTGTATTTTGGTGCACAGTTACCCCTAAGACCCTTTGTGATGCAGCTTTCTGCAATTTTTCTCCATTTAAGTAGCGCTGTTTTTTTGTTCTCCTTTCCAAATGAACTTTACATTTTCCCACATTATACGCCATTTGCCAATATTCTGCCCATTTATTTAACGTATCAATATTGCTCTCTAGAATGTTTGCATCCCTCTTGCAAATTTTCTCTTTATCTATTTTTCTGTCATCTGCAAATTCAGCTAGACTACATTTGCTTCCATCCTCAAGTCACTAATATATATTCTGGTCCCAGTTGTGGTCCCAGCACTCCTCTCTGTGGAACACCACTGATTACAAGTTGCCATTCTTATCCCCACTTGCCGTTTCCTGCCCATCAGCCAATTCCTTATTCATGTCAATTCACTACCTCCAATACAATGGATTCAATGTGAATCATTCTGCCTTCCCTCTTCTGCTACATTTTCCCCATCCATGGCCGTCATTTCTTCCTGCTCAAGCATTTTTTAAAATTATTCATTCATGGGATGAGGTCATCTCTGGCTGGGCCAACACTTATTGTCCATCCCTTATTTTCCTTGAACACTGTTGCTTGCTATACCATTACAAAGGGCAGTTAAGAGTCAACCACAATGCAGTAGGTAGGGTCTCGCATGCCAGCCAGACCAAGTAAAGTTAGCAAATTTCTTTTCTTAAAAGGACTTAGTGAATCAGGTGAATTTTTGTGACAAAGCAACAACAGATACATAGTCACCACCAGGTTCACTGCTAATTCTAATTCCTTTTAAATTGAATTCAAGTTGCACCAACTGTCACAGTGGGATTCAAACCCATGTCAACAGAACATTAGGGACTTTGGATTACTCATCTTGCCACAGCCTCCAAACTTACATTTATATGCATTTTTACATACTGTATGTGTGCGTGAGATGGAGTAACCAATCAAAAGTATGAAGCACTTCAGTAGTGAAAGAGATCAGCAAAATAAATCATTATGATCAGGAAGAGTCACAAGCTGTAGTCAGGACAAAAATCCCACGAGCGGATAACAGTGTTTCAAAAGCAAGATCGAGGAAATACAACTCCACCAAAATAACATTTTCAAACGTTAAAGAACAGTCCTTTAAAGAAACATAATAAAAAGCAGAAACTGCAGACAATTTTACTTCGAAAACAGCAGGGAGGGATCATAACTGAAAAAACAACGGAAACAGTACAGGAAAAATATCTAAACTCCCCTGTTCCCATCTCTAAAGCCAACTGGGTTAAAAAAAGCAGATTCACTAATGCAATAAACAACTGTTTTTCAGGTTGAAGTGAAATGTGCAGTGGTTTTGGCAGCTCTGCTCATTTTAATATGTATTTTAAGGTAAAAGGCAAAAATGTTTAAAGGGAGATGTGAGGAAAGGGTGAGAGAGTAGCGGAATCTGGAACTCACTGCCTGTAAGGGTGGTACAGGCAAAAACCCTCATAACATTTAAGTATTTAGATGTGCAGCTGCGATGCCAACGCATACAAAGCTATGAGCCAAAAAATGGGACTAGAATAGCCGGTCGTTATTTTTGACCAGTGCGGACACAATGAGCCCCAAGAACTTTTCTCCGTACTTTAGTTCTCTATGTTTCCATGACTCTATTAATGAGGTATATATGGAGTACTCAGGTGTACAGGACACAAATTTTGAAGATAAAAGATGACATGAAAATTAGAAATGTGACCCATATATTTACAACACAGACATGCAGCCATCAGCCCACTGTGTCTGCGGCAGTCAACAAAGATCTGACTAAGGTCCCAACCCGAAACGTCAACTTTCCAGCTCCTCTGATGCTGCCTGATCTGCTATGTTCCTCCAGCTCCACACTGTGTTATCTCTGACTACACTAAACTCTATTTCCAAGACACTGGGCCAAAAGTTGGAGGTCATGACAACAGAAGAGCATATCTAAATATTGTTACAACAGTTTGTGACTTGACCACATTTTCAGGTAGTGAGTTCCAGACTCCTGTAACTGAATGAAAAAATTCTTAACTGTCCTGTTAGCCTTCCAGGTCTTACCTAAAATCTACGTCCCCTGGTTACTGACCCCTCTGTTAATGAAAAAGTGCATTCCTACCCATCCTCTCTATGCCCTTCATAATCTTAAAAAGCTCTGCCAGGTCTCCTCCCGGCATTCCCTGTTCCGAGAAAAACAGTTTCAGACTAGCCAATCTGTTTCTCTCAGCTCAGACCCTCCAAGCTCAAGAAGGATCTTGGTAAATCTCCTCTGCATCCTCTCCATTGCAATCAATTCCTTTGTATAATGTGGTGACCACGTCAGTTAGCTACAAGATGACTTCAAGAAAGCACATATATGGCATGTGAAATTTAACATAAATATGAAGGAATAAAATCTGGTTGGAAGAGTAAGGCAATATAAACTATATAATTTTAAAAGTAAGCAAGAACAGAGAGACCTAAGGCATATATACACAGGCCTTTGAACATGGCAAGACAAGTAGAGAAGTTTATTAAAAAGCATATGAAGCCTTGCCTTAAAAGGCAGAATGCACAAAAGCCAGAAGTTATCCCAAAACATTGGTGAGCTCTCAGATGGAGTAATGTGCACAGTTCTGGACATCCCTCCTGAAATGTGGTAACAAGACCTCAGAAAGGATGCAAAGAGATTTATCAGAATAATTTAGAGGATCAGGACTTGATTTATATAGATAGCCCTGAGATCTGGGGTTGCTCCCTTAGAATACAAATGGTTCTTCACTAAAGGTATTCAAAGTCATGAAACGTTTCTGTTGAAGAAACAGGGAGAAATTTTGCCAATTGGAAAAGTAACCAGCCAAAAGAACCAGAGGAAGCATGAGTAAAAAATTTGCTGAACAATTAGTTATGAATTTAGAATGCATGGCCTGAAAGGAGAGTCAGGAATCAGATTAATGTTCCAACATTATGACAGTGGCTACACTTCAAAAGTACTTCATTAGCTGCAAGAATTTTGAGTTATCTGGAGATCATGAAAGTGGTTTATCAATGCAAATGTCTTCTTTCTTTTTACAACGTGAATTAGATTAATACTTGAGAAAAAATTGTTAGGCAGTGAGCAAAGAAAAGGAGAGCTAAAGTAATTGGATGGACCTGTCAACAAACCAACATATATATAATAGGCTGAGTGATGGACCTGTCAAAGTTGTTGAGTTATACAGGTTAGAATAGCTCCATAGTGCTAGCTAGCATTGACGCTCTGCTCAGCAAACAGAATCACAGCTTGGTAAAATAATCAGGAAAATTTAGAAACTTCTTTAAAGTGATTCAAAGAATTTAGTAATAAACCAAACATTGAGAAATTGATTTCAAAATACTTTGCCATGCCTTCAACTAAAACCAAAAGTGCTGGAAAAAAATAGCTTGGCAGAATGTGTGGACAGAGTTAATGTTTCAGATCAATTAATTTTCTTCAAAACTGGGAAAAGGTGAGAGACATAATGGGCTTAAGCAAGATAAATTGAAGGGGCTTGGGGCAAAGAACATAAGGAAAAACCTTTGATAAAATGAAAAGGCAAAGAGATTAAACTACACCGGGGATGATGGTAAATGGAGTCAATGGGATGTCAAAGTGATAGTCATGGGAACGATAAGGAAAGAAATAGAAGACATGTTCAGAGTAAGTGAAGTACAGGATCATTCATCATAAAAAGGATTGTGAACAAGAGGAAACGTTGTAAAGTGCTCTACAAAAGAAGCAAACGCAAGGTAAGAAAAAAAAACCTGTCACACAGTTGGTAATTAACAACTGGAATGCACTGTCAGATGTGTGGTGGAGGTAGGTTCAACCGAGGCATTCGAGAGGACATTAGACAATACTTTCAATTGAAACAATATGCAGGGTGGCAGGGAAAAGGCAGGAGATTGACAAAAAGTCAAGATGGTCAGAGCGACTGCGTAGTCACGATAGGCTGAAGGACTCCTTCTGCACCATAAGCAGCTGCCATATGAAATCAAAGCAAACAGTGGAACAGGAGAGAAAAACCAAAAACAGTTTAAGAAAAACAAACAAAACAGAGGCAGAGTAATTAGCTGAATTATTAAACGCAATGGTGAGTCCAGAATACTACAGAATTACCGAAATAAATACAAGGCGCCTGTTCCTCAAGTTAAAAATGAGCTTCAGTAGCACAGATCAGCAAGCTGAAGGTAGAGAGCTCAGAGTACAAATGGGGCAAGGAACTGAAACATTAGGTGTCCAGAAACTCAAGGACACTCTTATGGGCTGAACAGGGGTGTTCTGTAAAGTGTTTGGACTCCATAGTGTAGACACGGCCACATTCTAGGCAATTCACTTGCACATTCTTGTCAGGATGTGGTCTCTTCTGCTTTGTTTTTCTGTAGACTATGAAAAAGTACCAATCAAGCCAGGACACCCTGTAACAATACATTTCTTTGGTCTCTAACTCACCCATACTTAGTTTCCCAAGCCCACACCGAGTCTTCACAGAAACCAAATTCCTGCTGCATTGACTCCCATTTTGGCCCCACTCCAACAAAGAAATATAAATCTTACACATGTAAATATATTTTGTAAGAAAGACAAAAAGATTATCTTGCATACAAATGTAAATTGTGAATTAAAGAGAAATATTAATGAACTGTTAAGTAAATAGGTACAGCTTAGAGGATAACGTTTATCTAATATTGTTAATATTTCACAATTTTGACGAATAATTCAGTTATAAAGCAAAAGACCAAAAGAACACTGAAATGTTAAAGAAAACATATTTTTCCTTGTTTAGACCACAAGGCTGCAGATTTATACAGGACTGGTTTAATAAGACTCACCTTATGTAAGGCACAGCATCATTCTGAACAAGATCCAGCAACCATTGCAATTCTTCAGTACTCCTGTCCACTGAGGGGAAAATATTAATTAACAACTCAAATGTGGGACAAACCAAAGTCAAAATATTCAAACTCAGAAAACAGTAAACATATAATGCGAGATAACAAGGTGCAGAGCTGGATGAGCACAGCAGGTCAAGCAGCATCATAGGAGCAGGAAGGCTTACATTTCGGGCCTAGACCTGAAACGTCAGTCTTCCTGCTCCTATGATGCTGCTTGATCTGCTGTGTTCATCCAGCTCTACACCTTGTTATCTCAGATTCTCCAGCATCTACAGTTCCTACTATCTCTCAAACATATAATGCGTATTGTTTAACAGACATCTGTAAAATATTTCTGTAAACCATTTACCATGATTTACCAAGACTCAAAAGAACAACCAGTAACTGGATTAACAAAAAGTCTGCATGAAAAAAAGCAATCAATAGAAAGCTACACTTTCATAAAATTACAATTCAACACAATGTCTCAGCTTGTAGTTCAAGCATGTCACCTTTTCTATTGATCTTTGCTTTTTTGAACTTTATACTATTCCACAGAAAAATGTTTAAGTTACGATTAAAACACTTTAATAAAATCAACTTTTAAAGAGTGTTGAATATAGATTCTAGTAGCACTTGTTATTGGCAACTTGTGGGATTCAAAATCATGCAATGGTCAAGACAGACTCCTGACTGTTGCCTTTGTTACTTCATATAAATGTTCGACAAGCTATTTTCTTGAAGGGCTTCTCTTCTAATGCAAAACTCAACTACATACTCCTTCAAACTGAAGCAATTGCAAACACTTATTAGACATTGTGTGTGCAAATTAGCTCTATCTATTTAATTTTGACATAGATAATGGGACCATTTGACTGGTATCACATTATCATATGGTTACAAAACACAATGGTGGCTGAAAACAGGTGAACAAATAACAAACAATAAAACTACAAGACATAGGAGCAGAATTAGGCCATTAGGCCCATCAAGTCTGCTCTGCTATTCGATCATGGCTGATATATTTCTCAACCCTACTGGACTATCTTCGTGCTTCTTCCTAATCAAGAACCTTCCTCTGACTTAAATACACTTAATGATTTGGCCTCCAATACCTTCTGCAGCAATAAGTTCCACAGATTCATTACTCTCTAGCTGAAGAAATTCCTCCTCATCCTGTTGCTAAACAGTTGTGCCTTCATGCTGAGGCCGTACCCTCTGGTCCTTATTTCTCCTACGAGTGGAAAAATCTTCTCCAGGTTCACGTTATTGAGACCTTTCGGTATTCTATAAGTTTCATTGAGATCCTCCTCATCCTTCTAAACTCCGCTGAGTGCAGACCCAGAGGTCTTCAACTGCTCCTCATGAAAAATCCTTCGACCCCAGGAACTTCTGGTAAATCCCCTGCAAAGCTAGCACATCCCTCAGATTATGAAGCCCAAAATTACTCATAATACACAGCATAATTAATGTAGTGAAATATTACACAGTTGTTCACAGTAGGGGAGGCGATGGCCTGGTGGTATTATCGCTGGACTGTTAATCCAGAGACCCAGATAATGTTCTGGGAACCTGGGTTCAAATCCCACCATGGCAGATGGTGGAATCTGAATTCAATAAATGTCTGGAATTAACAATCTAATGATGACCATGAATCTATTGTCGATTGTCAGGAAAATCCATCTGGTCCACTAATGTCCTTTGGGAAAGGAAACTGCCATCCTTACATGGTCTGGCCTATATGTGAGTCCATAGCAATGTGGTTGACTCTTAACTGCCCTTTGGGCAATTAGGGATGGGCAATAAATGCTGCCGAGCCAGCGACGCCCTCATCCCGTGAATGAATAAAAAAAGTTCACAAAAATGTTAATGAAATAAATTTTGACATCATGCCACATGGGAAAATGAGGGCAGATACCCAGAAACATTATCAAAGTCATACATTTAAAGCATCATCATTACGGAGGAGGCGGAAGGGTTCAGGCAGAGTTTCTGAATTTAGATTGTCAGCAGCAATACTGGAATAACTAAAATTGGGGTGCATAAGATAAAGAAATGGAACAGCACTGATATCTTGAAAGGTTGTAAGGCTCTAAGAAGTTAAGAGAGATAACAGGATCATGGAAGAATCTGAAAATGGAATTAGAATTTTAAAATTTAACTGTTACTTACATTGGCTCCAATCTAAGTAAAGAGCACAAGTCGATGTACATTGTGAGTTATGCAGTGTTACAAGGTTGGGTAGAGTAATTGTGAAGTGGAAGGCAGGAAGCTAAAATGTCTGGATCTTTAAGAGATGTGTGCTTTGTCTGCACTTCGAAATTTTTTTTAAAAAGTACATCTGAGAGCAGCAGCTGAAGTTGCCAGTACAGAGAGCATCAAAAAAGTGAAACAAGTGCATCAAAAAGCCTTGCAGGTGGCATGCAAAACAGCAGACTTGTTTTGATGTTGTGACAACAAATTTGAATTCAGCCAATTAATTTAAACAAAGCACCTAGATACAGAAAGCCAATTGAACTTAAATCTGATGATGTTGACAACCTGAAAGCAATCACATTATAAGAATTTGATTATGTCATTACGGGTATATAAGACGAAGGCATTTGGAAAATCGGGGAGAGCCAACTGCCAACTGAAAAAGAGAGCCATCCGCCACCTGCCAGAGTTAGTACTATTCAGCTTTCCGAAAAAGCCCATCTAATTATTCAAAGGCACCACGGTATTTTAGCTCTAATTTCTTCAATGAGGACTTTTAGAGAGAAAACATCCCTGCCAGCAGAATTAACAGAAGAAAGGTACTTGTGAAGTGAGCACAGACGACAGAATACTCCAGAAAACTGTCTGTGCGAACTTGGAGAGATTAAGTTAAAATTTATTGCTTCTTATTGACTGAGTATATATTAGTGGGACTTGTCCTTATTTAAACAGCGTTCCAGTAGAATTTAGGAACAAAAACAGAAGTTGCTGGAAAAGCTCAGCAGGTCTGGCAGCACCTGTGAAGAAAAAAATCTGAGTTAACGTTTTGGGTCTGGTGACCCTTCCTCAGAACTTCTCTGGGTGTTTTGGGGGTAATAATTAGAGGGGAACCCCTACTTCTGTCATAACAGACTGGGGCTTGTGTTTTAGTTTAATTATCAGAGGGGTTCAGCCATTCTCTGTCGTAACAGCAGAGTTTCAGGTGACTTTGAGTTTGTGAGTGAAAGATTGAAGTGTTCTAACAGGTGATACATTATTTTTTGAGGATTCATATTGAAAGATTGTAGACAGTGGTGCAATTAGATACTGGACCTTCTTTTGAAAACAGGCAATTTGAAGGACAATAGGAAACCTTTTCTTAAAAAAAGATATTTCTTGAAAGTCACATGGCCTAAGATTGGACTCACGTACTACCTGGTTGGATTTACAGATGTCAGGAATTGGGTTATGTTTGGAGATGGTTTGGATTTCAGTCAACCACAGCCTGCTGAAATGAAGCAGCTATCCAGCTTTGGCTTTTCATTGAAACCCTGGTTGAATGTTCAGGGTGAGAACTGAAATCCAGATCCAGCTTTCTCCTGAAAAGCATCCGGAGTGTTCTTTTTCACAATGCTATGCATAAAGCATCCTGTTCTTGGATTTCCTAAAGGCATTTAACAAGGTGGCATATGGTGGTATTTAGTAAGACTTAAGCGAGATGATTTCAGTGGAAAAGAATCAGGGCCCTACAAAATCTTATGTTACAATGTTCAATTACAAAAAAAATGATATATGCAAGTCACAATTACAAGTGAACATTTCTATCTCGTAATTAGCTGATAAAATCATGTTGGATAATTGAAATCAAAGCACTACAAGCTTCCATTGCTAAATGTTGATAATATTGTGTGTTAGAGTGACAGTTATACTGCATGGAAACAGATCCTTCAGTGCAACCAATCCATGCCAACCATAATCCCAAGCTAAACTAGTCCCACCTGCCTACACTTGGCCCATATCTTTCCAAACATTTCTTGTTCAAGTAATCATCTATAGGTCTTTCAAACGCTGTAACTGTACCTGTATCCACCACTTTCTCTGGAAGTTCATTCCACACAAGAACCACTAACAAAACACAAAAAAATTCTCCTCTCACTTTTAAAATATGCCCTCTAGTTTTGAAATCCCTCACCCTAGTGAAAAGACACCTGCCACTCACCTTATCTAAAGCGCTCATGATTTTATAAACTTCTAAGAACCTCAACCTCCTACACTCCAGTGAAAGAAGTCCCAGCCTATCTAGCCTCCTCTTATAACTCAAACCCTCTGTTCCTGGTAACAAGCTGGTAAACCTCTTCTAGGCCCTCTCCAATTTAATAAATTCATTTCTAAAACAGGGTGACCAGAAATGGACACAGTACTCCAGGAGAGGCCTCACCAACGTTTTGTACAACCTCAACGTAACCATTCCAACTCCTATACTCAAAGGTCTGAGCAATGAATACAAGTGTGCTAAATGCCTATCTATATATGGCTCAAACTTCAAAGAATTATGTACCTGAACCCCTAGGTCTCTCTGTTCTACAACATTACCCAAGGCCCTACTTTTAATTATATTAATTCCTGTAATACTTCGCATTTATTCAAATTTAAACTCCATTTGCCACTCTTCAGTCCATTGACCCAATTGATCAAGATCTCTCTGTAATCTAAGATGACCTTCTTCACTGTCTAGTATGCCAATGTTGGTGTAATTCTCAAACAAATCATTTACATAAATGACAAAGAAAAGTGGACCAACACTGATCCCTGTGGAATACTGCTGGTCACAGACCTCTAATCCAAAAAACAACCCTCCACCATCACTGTGTTTCCTGCCATTTAGCCAATTTTGTATCCAGTTGGCAAGAATATCCTGAATCCCATGTGATCTAACTTTACTAATTAGGCTACCATGCAGAATCTTGTTGGATTTACTAAAGTCCAAGTAAACAATGTCTACTGCTCTCCCTTCATCAATCTTCTTGGTTACTTCCACAAAAAACTCAAACAAGTTTGACAGACATGATTTCCCTCGCACAAAACCATGCTGACTAACCCTAATCATTCCTTGCTTCTCCAAACGCATACAAACTCTTTCTTTTAGAATCACCTCTAATCACTTACCCACCACCGAAGTCAGACTCACAGATCTATAGTTCCCAGGCTTCTCCTTACATTCCTTCTTAAACAAAGGCACAACATTAACCACTCTCCAATCATCCATCATCTCACCCATAGTTATAGATGATACATGTATTTCTGCTAGAGGCCGTCAACTTCCTCCCTAATTTCCCATAACATCCTTGGATACACTAGAAAAGGCACCATATTAACATTCATATGTAGTTACACATCAAGACCAAACCTTGCGTATAATCCACAACTGCTTCCAAAGCTGCAATGCGAACGTCAACAAAGTGTCCATATTCTGCGTAAGATTTGAAGAGTGACGGATCGCTAGGAATATGTCCATTTTTCTGTAGCACTCTAATAGCTTTCAGGCAGCTGCAAATTAAACAAAGCAAATGTACTTTTTAAAATGTTGAAGCCTCTATGTTCTTTGTTGTTCAACGATGGACTGAATTTAAAAACTATTAGTGCATATCTAGAGTCAATTAAGTTTATTCTGTTCCCAATCATGACAAAATTAAGTTTTCCATCTTGAAGTTAAGATGTGAGACGGCAGAAGAAAGAACAAAAAGGCTAGAGCTGAAGTTGTGGGGGTAGAAGATTAAAAGCTTGGAGGTGATTGCATAGATCATTATCCGAGGCTAAGAATAGATTTGAAGGTTAGAGAAGTTTAGCAAGTTCAATGCTTTGTCAAATAGGTAACCAGTGCAGCTGAGTGAACTATGCAAGATTACCTTACGCAGAATGACAGTCAGAAATGAGGATACTGAAGAAAAAAATAAATATTTATTTGGCAGGCCTGAGAAATAGGACTATCAAGCATAGAGTTTTGCCGTATATGCTGGTAATATATATTGGAGCTCTTTACTGCTTCCAGCGATATCATAAATAGCTCTATGTTGTCTGTTTGTCCATAAGTCATTAAGTGATTGAACCACGAACATTTAATCTAATTGAGGCATCAATTAATCCCACTGTAATAACTGCAAACTTCACCAGTCACCTGTCTGGTCACTCTCTTGGGTTGGAGGAGTTGCAGCTAAATGCTGAACTCCACATCATATGCACTATCAACAGCATCTGCACGTCTTTAACACCGTTTGCCTCCAGCATACATAAGCCCCATTACTAATCTGTGCTTTCCCAAGTTCGTAACCATGTTATTGTTATATATTTTTAGCTGTCATGGTAAGATTATATAAGAGTTGTTGTATTAAAGGGAAAACAGCTGCATTACTAGAGATGGATAGAAGAATGAATCAGCTAATTACTGATTCTTTCAAATTGCAAGGATATCATTAGTAGTGTGTCTTGATTTATGCTGAGACTGGTCTAATTTTCATTCATACATTGTTGACAAATGCACAAGGTGAATAATATTTACACTTGCCAAGGCCAATTAAAAAGCATAGTAAAATAATGATGTTGAAATGACAGTTTTGCAATTAGATAGATAACAGGTGCAGATTCATGCAGAGAAAATACGTAGTACATTTTGCAAAGACTTAAAAAAAGGAATATTCTATTTAGGAACTTTGATAACAGTGGGGAAAAAGTGATTAGTGGGGATGAAACCCAGATCCTTAAAATGATGGGAGTTCAGATATAAAGGCCATAAAGAATTTTTGGCTTTAAACATGGATTCTGAGTACAAACAGCTCAAGAGGGTAAATAATGAAAGATTCTTTCTGTAATTGGCAAATTGCTAACAGAAAGAGAGAAAATCAAGACCACTGGATGAATGAAGAACAGTCAGAAAAATATTACATATTGATGCATTAAATACCCCTCCACAAACAGCTACTGGCTCAACTATTTTCTCAATTTAGAAGAATAGGTAAGTACGTGAAAAGGAAGAGAGATGAAAAATTAAGGTGAAGTATTATGACAGCAGATAATTCTAGTTGGAGACTTCTAATTTAAATTCAATGGGTTGAGAGGCCACCTCTTTTCTATTGCACAATTCTCTTAATACTGCCATGAGGAACATTAAAATTAGAATGTATTTGGTCTGATAACTGAAGTATGCAACAAAACTGAATTACATCACATGAAGTGGATAAAATGGAAATGTGCTATATAGAGTGGTAAAACACATAGTTCATACCCTCAAAGTCATAACTTGGCTTGTGCTTCAAAGTGAAAATGTCAAAATGAGGACACAGTGGGGTTCAGCATGGATGAGACGAAGGAAAACTAAAGGAGCAAATGGCTTAGAACAGCACAGGAGATTGCCTGGAAATGGGTCTTGCCATGCCTTTTTGATCATTGATGGCCTATAACCCGAGGATAAAAATAAAAGCTTGCTTACCAAAGGAATAAAACCGAGAAAAGCACACAGGATCAATCCAATGCTGCATTTGAATTTTGGATTGGATGAGTGTTGTAAGTTACTAAAGCTATACATCTTTAAAAATTCAAACAGTACAAAGCTTTAATTTTTCACAGATGCACAATGTCTTTTTGTTACTTGAAATTTAAAAATTTTTAGATATATGAATTGAGCATAAGGATGTATAAAATAGTTATTCAAACACTGCTGCCATAACACTGAGGGCAAAATTAGGATTTAATTAAGTATCTTTAAATGTTATCATAAATAAGTAAAAAGTAGAAAATATTCAACTGATACATCCATAGATTTTGTTACAATAAAATAAGAGTGAATATAATCAACAGAAAGTGAACAGGGTGCTCAAGAAAGTGCATAGTTCCGGCATGCTGTGTTAATGCAACATTATTACACATGCCTTTTTCCCCAAGCTATTTCCCTATCTGATCCATGCTCTCTAACAAAGCTAAAGAAATTCTTATTCAAAGCATCACTCTCACTAAGGAATCTTCACGCTAATCCATACCTAACAAGCTGCACTGAAAACTCTGTTCATCTTTTGACAACCATTGCAAATCACAGCACCTAAGACAAGCCACTATACTCTAAAACTCAATATTGTAACTTAAACAATCCCAATATTCCTTAACAAAAAGTCTGTTGCCACACTGATGTTATCAGATTGTTTCAAAAAACCTCAGCATTCAGATCTTTGCCAAATACTATATCGGTTCTTCCTTAGTCCATACCCTACCAAAATTCATTGAAATCCATCTATTAATTTTTCAGGTGCTTTGTTTAAAAGCAGATTAACAAATGGGGTGAAAACAATAGTTCCTCCCACCTTCAGTAGCAAGGTAATTAGAATTTTCACTCAATCATTACTGCTGAACCTAATGGTTAAGAATAGGACTCCCAATAACTTAACATGCTGCTAATTTGGGTTGGTAAATATTCATCAAGTAGTACCTGACAGTTATTGTATTTCTATAACTTGGAAGCAGCTTCTCCATGTTTAGAAATCTGGTGATCTCTTCCAGAATTAGACGAACATCAAGATTGAGATTGTCCAACGTTCGAACCTCATTATTGATGCTAATTGCAGGTGTCACCGAGTTGGCAAGTGCGTCTATAAGTTCAGCACGATAATAGTTGTCTGAAAACTTGAAGCAATTTTTAATAGTAATGATTAAAATAAACCAGATGAAAAACAAACTAACAAACAAACAAACAAAGTCTCACAACCAAAAAATTCTTAACTTTATGTACATTTCTTGGAAACATATTAGTTGATATAGTTGAGATGGCAGTTTTTTTAAAGTCACAATCTTCAAATCCTAAAACTTAAAAAATTTAGAAAGAAATGGTAGCATAATGGTTATGTTAACTCACAGACTCAATTTCAAATCCCACCATGGCAGGTCAGGAATTTAAATGCAATTATTTAAATAAATCTGGTATTTAAAAGAAAAATAACACTGACAGTAGCCAATTGCCAAATGTTGCCAAAAATCCACTTAGTTATATCATTTACTGAAGGAAATTTGGCGCCATTATCCAATCTCAATTAAAAGGTAACTCCAGATTCTCAGTACTATGGCCGACTTCTACACCATCCTCTAAAATTCTAAAGACTAAAACCAGTAAGACCACTCGGAACAAAAACAAAGTTTCTGGAAAAGCTCAGCAGGTCTGGCAGCATCTGTGGAGGAGAAAACAAGAGTTAACGTTTCGGGTCCGGTGACCCTTCCTCAGAACTGTTCTGAGGAAGG